CATTCCACAAAAAGTCAGGAATCATGCAAGTAAGGCCATCTTCGTAGCCTGAGCCTAATCTTATCTACTGGAAAGATAACCAAGGGTTATAGTTTAGGTTCGTAAGCCTTTATATAGCATTTCAAAATCCAGGAGGGTTTTGTTTTTATCACTTAATTCCTCCATCTGCAGGTGGAAGCTATTGTTTTCTGCTAGTCTGTATATTGCTTTGCAGATTAGGACATAGGCTACTTGAAGTATGCCCTTTTCTTTCAGTTTGGTATCCATTTTGGCTATTTCTAGGGCATGATGCCCTGAAAGAGCACTCTGTGGCTATTTAACTGTGTCATATTCAGAATTGTGGATAAAGGCCACTGCTTTCCTTTTGGGGTGAGTTCCTTTGGCCAGAGATGGAGCAGTATGGAGGATGTTCGGATCTTTGTGAATTCACGCAGTTGCGTCGTTTTTACTGATCCCAAACTACAAGTTTGTCTAGTTTCAAGCTACACTTCTTCAGCAGAATACATGAAAGGGGACAGCAAGCCTAAAATGTGCTTAAGAGTCAGCAGCTGAGATCCATAGGTAATGTTTTTGCAACTATATGACCAGCTTCTGGGGTCCCAGAACACAGTAAGGTTTTTAATTCTGCTTTATGGAAACTGGTTCTAAAAACAAAATTCTTCATTCTCAGGGGAATAAAACTCTGTAAAACTTTGCTAAAAATCGAAACAGATTGTCTAACAGTTCAGGAACTATGTAAGAACACTCCATATAACAACATGCACTCCAAACAGGCACTTTTTCAGATGTGCATAGGTTACAAGAGAACATAGTTTGAAATAACTGAAAGAGGAGTTGAGAATGGTTGGGAGTTTGTCCTGGGGAAGACACACCTAGCAATGTTCTTGTTTAGGGAGTCTTCCTCTAAACATGAGGACCTTCTTAAAACTTAGTAACACTTTTAAAAGTACATATTCAAACTTGTAATATAACAGCAAGCCCCTCAATAAAATCTTTTTATTTCTGTATTAAAACACAGATTCACCTGCTTAATTCCAATTTTGCATTGAGCAAGCATTAAGACACTGCAATTCAAGACTCTTCAGAATGATGCATCTTGTGCTAACTTAAAAGTAATGATGGACCAGATGTCTCTTTCCAACTTTGTAGTTGGGGGGCTGGGGGGGTATTATTTTTCTGTTTCTTGGAAACACTGAGATGACCATCACAGAAGTAAGGAATGTAGATAAAGACTATTTCTAGCTCTCATCTTTTTGCTTTCCACGGGTGCAACTTCCATCCATCCTGAAAAACACAGGGCTTTTTGACCTCAGGTATGTTCAAGTCAGTATAAATAAAACCAAAGTAGTACCTATCCATCTGAATGCATAGTTAGTTCCTGTATTTTATTTGTCATTTTGCATGCAGACATGCAGTAATTGTACAGAGAACGCTGAAGGGGTATTTGCTAAGAGTATTCACTTGTTAAGGGACAGATTTTCTATAACTATTTAAGTATCAAGAAATAGCAACTGCCACTTACTGGAGTTTTCCAAAATCTCTAAGCAAGGACTTGAAATCTGTGAGAATGAAGAGTGAGACCTTAAGAGGCTTTGTTGAGCATTCCCGAAGGTGCCTGTCTGTCCCTGCACATTTGGAGCTGCAGCACTGAAGCAGAGATGCCCACCATATCATTCTTCTCTCTGACCTAAAATACAAAACCCAATACTTTCTTCTTGAATTACTTGTTTGGTTGCTTCATAAGATCAAATTCAGTGATTGTCCATGCTTACATCTCAGGAGATGATAGTGCCATACTGTACATTTAATTTGTATTACTAGGACTGCTCCCTTCACAAGCAAAAAGACAAATGTAATTTCTTAAATATGTGTCTTAGGATAGAGTCAAACATAGTCATCACTGCTTTAAGTATGGTGAAATTATTCTGGCAAATATACCATATTGCATAAAGTAATAAAAGTTGCTTTCTTCAGATCAGTGTCTTCAGTATTTTGAATAGAGAACGCTAAGACTTTTAGACTAGTTCCCAGCACCTCCCATTTGTCTATTTAGATATTAAAGTTACCTTTGATCTTGAGGTATAAGACTATTCCTTAAATTTACCACAGATTAAAATGCCTAGCCTCCAAAGGGTCTGCCTCAGCATCCCACCAAGCTGGGTAGAGCCTTATCAACAAGGGTCACCCCTGGCAGGTAGGACCTCATTGACACAAATGGCCTTGTTAGCTGCCTTTTATTACTTACAAACTAAATGTAGCTTAGTGTGAGTCAGGATGGCAGAATTGGGCCACTGGTGAACAGAGTCCTGGATTATCATTCCAAAAAGGCACCTGAGGCCCATAAGCAGAGTTATTAACCACTGATACAGCACATAGCATTATTTTGTAGGCTTAAGTGGGATTTCAGAGGCATATTGGGTCTTGTGTCTGTGTAGGGGTGAATTTTGTCCTCTGTTATTTTATCTTATAAATAGCTGATACAGTCTCTCTTTTGCGTTATTGTTTAAATCTCTTTCAAAAGTGTAGTTTCTTAATCCCCTGCTGCTTTTTTTCTTTCTTTCTTCTAATAAAGAATAAATAAATTTGCAAATCCACACACCGCTGAAACAAAAGGCAAATAATCCTTGCACAGTTTGTATTTGGTGTGGAATACCTCATTTTGATGATTTCAGTCATCATTCATTTGAAAAGCAGAAGCTATGATTGTTAAGCCTCATTATTTTCAATGAAGCCTGACAGTTTCAAGGTTAAACAGAAGACAGCTACTTTCATCCCAGTGGTATTTCTCTTCAAACATGGGCAGCTCTTCGCTAACTTGTTTTGCTCTGGCATGCAGTGTCATTGCTTGGTCACAGAGTGGTGCACATCTAAGCCAAATTGCTGGATAGTGTAAGCCGTGACCTTTAACCTATTGTCTCCCCAAAAGAAACCTACATTATTGAAGTAATTTTCCCCGCGCTTGTATAAGCCACACAGTACTTGTTTTGAACTGAACAATGATTTAAATAAACCATGATCTCAGGTTCTACTATTTTTCTGCTATCTTCCAGAAAACAATTTGCAGTCCAAACCTTTTGTTTGGCCAGACAGTTTGAAATGTTTATCCTGTGCTTTGTGTCTCTGAAGCACATTACAGGGGGTGCTAGCGTGAGAGAGACCTCCACTGATAAAGTAGCTGAGAAAGCTGCAATGCTTCTGAAGATACATGCTGTTAAAAGTGAGGATTGATCTGCCATTGCTATCTGAAATCTCACATGAACTAACTGATTTAACAGGGAAACACCTCAGTAAGAGAGGCTGAGGAAGGTATGACCTATCAGTAAACACTGATTTAAAAACATCAATTTATCCACTGTGAGAAAACTTTCAGGAGCAAATAACTTGTGAAAGCCCTAACTTTCTACCTGCATAGACTGACTGTACTGAGTTATTACTGGATGCTGCCTCCATAAAGACAAAGAAGTGAAGTAGAGGTACATTACAAAATCAGGAAAAATGTGCTAGCTGGTTAAAAAGGGAAAGCAGTACTTAGAAAACTGAAGGGAGAAGAGTAGCCAAGCAGTACTTTTTCACCTGTGCTTTCACTCCTTTAAATTCCCTGTGGAACAGCTTGAACCAGATGAACTTTTCACATACATTTCCTGTTGTCTGATAATTACATTAGGGTGGTGAATTCTTAATCTCATTTCAGGAATTAAGTCACCTGGTGAGTACAATGAAAGGTGTAGCTTCGTGGTGCTTGGTGGTTCCTGGAAAACAAGTGTTTCAATACGTACCATGTGCGTTAGTCATGACTTGTGGCAATAAATCCAAGACATGTTAACTAGTTTTCCTACGCTGAAGTTACTAATGCATCCATGAGATAAAATGATTTTTTCAGGTTTGATAAAGCTATTATTTTTATTTCCTGTCTGCATTCCTCATGTTGTGTAATGTTTTAGGGAAAAAAAAAGAAAATAAAGACTGTCTTTTCCAATAAAAAAAAAGAGATCATCTTTGCAACAGTGCATACAACTATTTGAACCTGCACCTCTTTTTATCCATTATGGAAGTTGCATATATAATATGCTGGACACAGCTCTCAACTTGTTCTACTACACACAGTGTCTGCTTTTATATCGTTAGTTTATTTGTAGGACAGCTTTCACTGAAGGATTCCATGAAATACAGATAAATTGAAGGAATACCTTGAATGCATGGTTATTGGAGTGCTGAAGATAAATGTGTGCAAATGGAGAACTCTGCACAATTTAGCCCTTTCCATTCACCTACATATTTTAACAAAAGGAAAGAATTAATTAAGCCAGTGAGAGGCTGGACATGCTTAGAATCTCTGCCTTAAAACTGAGAGGATTAGGCAGCTCTCTGTTCTACTTGCTTAGACTGTTATTTTTTCTGTAGTTGTGTTGACATAATAATCATATTGGCCACCTTCAAAATGTCATCCTCCACATCCTCAGAAACTTGGCTCGTTTAGTATTTTGAAAAGTTTTTTACATAAAACACATGGGGGTTTAGGCATAAATTTATAAACTGGACAATAAAAGTATCTGCTGGATAATGGGCAAGGTACTTTTTAAGGGAAAACAACAGCTAAGTGTTTTTATTTAATGAGAGCCATGGACCACTCATATTTTAAAAACTGCAAGAATCTAATGTCCTGCTTACACGAAAGTGTATAAGTGCCACAGGATTGCTGCACAGGGTTTTGCATTGATGCCTTAAAGGGAGCTCAGATACTACATGTACCACAAAAGAAAAGTAGAGTTGATATATATCACTGCCTGCAAATGGGCTGGTTTGTAGGTTAAAAAGTTTTCCGTAAGTTGTCTGCATTTTCCCTTAATGTCTGTCTTTTACAGTAGTGCTTTGTTTCTGAGCATGACCACCACCAGGACAGCTTGGTTCAGTGCAAACACTGTCTCTTTCAGCCAGAACATTCCTAACGTTAGCTTCCTTTTTTTTTTTCTCTCCTCTCCCTCTTCCCTGCCCCCTCTCAGGTTGGAAAGGCTGGTGGACGTCCTGAGGAAGAAGGTTGGAGCAGGGACCATTAGGACCGTGATCTGATTGAAAGCTCTAGTCTAAGGAAGCATTCACATCTGGTGACCAGGCTGCTTCATTCAGCACTGTGTAAACACTAAAGCCTTAACTTAGCAAACAGTTGTTAGAAGTGGGACACTCCAGCGACATTCCAAGCTGAGATAAAATCAAATCATAAATGTTTAACTACTTTGCTGCTGAGTTCTGTGATTTGTTGAAATGTTTCACTGCAAACAGGTATTTGTTTTTAAGCAGATGCATTGTGGCACTGTGTACTGTGGAAAATGGTGTAGATGCTCAAGAGTCTGTCCTCTCGGTGTTACTAGACTATAGTCTGCTGCAAGGTACAGCTTGATCACGTTTTCAAATACTGCAGGCTTCAGGTGCAAAATCCTGCAAAACAGTTTCAAAATTTAAATCTCGTGTCATCTGTGGGACTGCAAACAGTCCGGTATTTGTATGTTAAATATATTAATTCATAATGTAGGTTCACATTCGAGAACTATCTATGACTAGTGTATTGGAGATTTTTTCCGTCTTACTCAGCCCGCTGAATTGAAGGTAGTGACTGTGGCTACAACTAGTGGAAGGATACATATATAGCTTTATACAGTAGTTGTATAGCTACTGTTAGTACATGACATTTTCACTGTACATTAGAAAGAAATGTACGGTTAGGTTTCACCAGAGGTACAGCTTCATAAATCCCGACAGGAAAGACTTGTGACATTGTAAAGTATCTTAGACAGTAGAGGAGGTTTCCTGTATTGTTAATAGCCAATCGTCTATCCTTTCCTTTGGGGTAAAATCTCTTGGATATTCAGAAACCACCTTATAGAGTTAAAATTTGCCTTTTCAGTGTAAGTAGGTGAGTTCATCACCCCCTTCCTACAAGATTTTTTGTCTGCTGATGCTAGACTTCTGATTGCTCTGTAGTGCAGGAGTACCATCCAGGCTGGGTTTGAGGCCAGCTTGCCAACCCTCTGCTCTATGTACTCCTGAAGTGACCTAGGACTGAACTCAAAGGTGGAAGGATAGACTCCTATGGCGAGGGGCAAAGTTGTGAAGAGGAAAAATTGGGATACACAGTTATTATATTCCTCTTGCCTACTCTGCTTTGTGTTTAATGTTATGCTGTCTACCCTCTTAGTGTTTGCTTATACAGGTGTCATGATAGCACAGTCTAGCTGAAGAAAATTAAATTTTAATTTTAGATAAGGGAAGACATTTCAATGACTGTTTTTCCTTTCAAGCACTTCCATGTTAAACCTTCATTGTCTGCAGACCTGAACTCCTCCTAGTTTCATTCAACCAAACCTAAGCACTTGCAGGGAGATAAGTAGCATTCCTACAAGCCAAATTTACCCATGTCACCTCCATAAACTTCTGAAGTGCTCCTTTTTGACCTGTGGTCAATCCTAAGATAGCCAGAGAGTCTGGAGTCCCTCCCCTCCACCTATCGAGTGGGAAGAAAGTTTAATGCTTCCATAGCAGAGGACTGTCACTGCTCAGCTCCCAGCTCTTTCACCATCTCCCATGTGTTGCTGTCCAGTGCTTGGGCCACTGCTGTTTCTCCTGCTATCCTCATTGAGCTTTAGTGCACCAAGCAAAAGACATGATCTCCTGAGCTATCACTGCTGTTGAACCATTTCTGCTCTAGAGAAGTGGTGAAGAAAGAATAAAGATACAAGGACTACCATACTGTGCTAGACCAAAGGTCAAACTAGCTTAAAGACTGACTTTGTCAATAAGCAGTAGAAGATGCCTAGGAAAGGGTATAAAGTCAGGCTAGCATTAGTGACCTTTCTCCCATATGGTGCCCCATCAGTTTGTTATTTAGGAGATTTCTGAACCAAAAGTGGTGTCCTTGTATTTAGCAGCATTTTTTCGTTACCTGTTTTCAAATCCATTTAAACTTTTGGTATCTACTTTTTCCTGTCACAAGGACTTATGCAGTTAATGGTGCATTGAGTGAATAATTATTTCCTTTTCTGTGTCATGAACCAGCTTTATTCATTTGTTATCACCTAGTTTTTGTAGTAGAGAAACAGTGAGCAACCATTTGTTACTGTTGTTTTCATGTCCCTTGTGATTTTACATATTTGGCATCCTCCTCCCAGCATATCTTTTCCAGAGAGAACCCCTAGTCTCCTGTAAAGGATGTGTGTCATGTTTTTAATTGGCCTTGTCATGCTAACCTATTTCTTTTCCAGTTCTGCAGTGTTTTTACTGAGACAACCAGATTTGTGCCTGATATTTAAGATGCAGACAAGTCATGACTTTAACAGTTGTCACAATGATGTTGTCTATTTTATTCTCTATGCTACTTGTAATAATTTGTAGCATTGGATTTCTTTTATGACAGATGGTTTCTTGGAATTAATATTTCTGTAATAATAAAAAATTCTAGATCTCAGTTGTAATATTCAGCTCAGGGTTCATCATAGGGTGCATGAAGATAGAAGTGTTTTCTGAATGCATAACTTTGCATTTATGGGTACTGAATGTCATCTGTTGTTTTATCATTCATTTCCTGGGGACCGTGAGCTCCTACTCCATATATTTTCACACCTTATTTTTATTACTCGTGGTAGCATAGTATCATCAGCATTTCCATGCTGAATATGGTGACATAAAATACTACCATCTCCAAATTAACTCCCTTTTCAAGGTGATTTCTTAGTTGAACAACATGGTCTCTGGGACAAAAACCCTATAGGACAATAAGGTAACTTTCCTTCACTGTGAAAATGATACCTTTATTTTTACCCATTGTTTTAATCTAACTTCGAACTACTTATTTTTCAGTTTTAAGATCTTCCCTCTTACTCCATGGCAGCTTTGATGAGGAAGCTTTTTTGCTACTTTGGAAATGCAAGTTTACTAAATCAGGGCTTGTTATCCATGCATGAATGTGCCTAGCTCCTCCCTCCCCTATGACTATCAAGAGCTCCTCACCTTCGCCCAAGTCTTTTCACCTCTGAGCAAATAATTTTGTGAGTGCAGGCTTCATACAGCAAGACTGTTTGACCTCCAGTTTCTTGTGCCCACTGGCTTTGTTTGGAAGGATTAGACAGGCAAAACTCATCTAGCAGACTTGATGTCAGATACATCTGGTTGTGGGTAATACATGATTCTATAAAATTAGGCAGTAATTTTGCCTCATAATTTTCCTTTTGATACATTGTACCTAAGGTGAAAAAAATGTTTCCTGACTCTGTCTGGTACAAAGTAGCCTGAAATTCAGTGGGCTTTTAGTTAGGGGTTTTTATCATCCTGTAGGTAAATTACTTTGAATCATAATTAAATTAGGTGTCAGTTTTAAAATTCAGCAAGAAATGTTTGTCTTCTTTGAAAAGGACCTTGGGAAATTTACTGTGCTGAGAGGCAAAGATTCAGAAACGGTTATCACTCTTTCTTGCTAACAACCTGGTGTGTGGTCTTTGGCAAATCCCTTAGTGACAGTCATAAAAGGTATGCAGCCCCTAAAGAGGTGCCTAGGCTCCTCGAGGGAGTTTGCAAAAGCAACTGTGCAGCCAATGTCAAAACACTTTCGCTTCTTCACCAGCTGAAGTGAACACAGGTCTGGTAATGCAGGCCCAGACTTTAGTGCCCTCGGGTGAATTTCTGGCACTGTTGAACCTAGTCTGAGTTCTGTCTTTCAGTGTAACAACCGCAGGAATTCTGATCTGGCGAGTAGAAATAAGTGGTAATGATAACACAGGTTAATTGGCTTTTATTATATAGTTTATTAATTATGAACTGATTGATGTCTACACAGTGCTCTGAAAGTGAAAAGAAGCCTACCCCTATACAGCAGACAAATGCATTTGTCACTTCTGTCCTAATTTATGAGAGAAAGATGAGATTGCATCAGATTATGTACTAGGAGTAGCAGTTAATTTGCCTCCTGATGGAATAAACAGTTCATGATGAAAGGTGGCTCACGGTAGGCAATGCTTATGGTGATGGTAGTAATTACTGGTCAGATTACTGTTCCTGCTGTCTTGAAGAGCACTGAGATACTCAGAAACGTCTTTTCCCTGTGAGATTTTGTGTGTTTCTCTTGATGATCCTGCAGCACGTTATGCATTGGAAGCCATTTCTGGTATATGCCAGGGTAAAATATGTAAATAGCATCATGTTGGCTCAGGGTAAGAGTGTTATTAATGCTTTTCAGCACTGTAATTATATTCATAGTAAGCCTTCCCTAAGCCCTCACTAATTAACAATATTGTGACAAATCAACTTTAACAGAAAAGAACTGTGGGCCTTTCATCTTTTAGTACTGCTTTTCATTCAGCCTACAGCCCAAAATTGGTGGCATGCTTTTCTGTACTGGTGTTGGGAAAACTGCTGATATTTGAAAAGTTCAGAGCCAGCTCAGTCTTGTTAGTGGAATCCTGTAGATGAAGTTGGTTTGATTCCTCTTTAAATATATTCATAAGAATGTAAGAATTCATTATTTAATTGTTAATGTAGGGGAATATTAGAACTACTTATATTAGAACTTATAATAAACCATCATATTGAAATATTTTACTAATGTCAATATGTTGTCATAGGTGCATTTATTTATTCCAAATAACAGGACATTTTACAAGATACCTTAATTTTCAAATTGAATGGCTTTATAAATATTCTTATCAGGTGATCAAGAGTTGTAACATCTTTAATCCATGTACACAAATGAACTTCTTATCTAAATGTCAGGATTTCTCTGTGCCTCTATTTTCTTCGTTTAGACAGTTAGGAAGACAGTTAGGTTTGTTGGGGTTTTTTGTTGTTGGGGTCTTTTTTTTTTTCTTTCTTTTTAATTTTACTCCAGAATATTTTTCTCCCATGCAAAAATAAACTATGAGGCACATGAAATCACTGACTGGCAGTTTCTCTGATACTGTGCTTGCTGTGATTGCAGCGTTACATGAACTAACTCTTATTGCTGTACCATTTCACATCAGGTCTGCAGAACTGGACTTTTCTCTGTTTGTTCTTCTCATGCATTGGTAAATAAAATGTATTCAGAAGTCCAAAAAACCAAAGTAGTGTTCTCATATTAGGTTGATTATAAGTCAGCTGTTGAGCTTCAGTGATCTAAACATTTCATTCTTCAGTTTTGTTGGGAGCACACGTGTTCTGGGAGGCTTTTAAACAAATACTTGAAATGGTTGAAAGATTTACATTGCTAGTGCCTAGCTAAATATGTAGTCTTTAGAAAAGACATGGTTTATCTTGGCACCATTTGAAAAACTCAGATATTTTAAACATTTGTTAAGTTCAAGCTTGCAAATTTGAACTAAAAGTTTGCATTCCAAAATTGCATCTCGGGTTACCTGATTCTCTCTCTTTTGTATTTTTTAATCCCTTTATTAAAATAATCTGCAAAAGGAGTTGGGTTTGGAGTGTAGGTTTTTATTGTTAATTGTAAAATATTGTCATTAATTTAATCAATTTTGAGGTAACATTTACTTGGTAACTCTATTCAACTAAGCATCTGAAATGCAAAGCCAGAAGTGTTTTCAGAATGTAGGACTTCCCTAAATTCTGGTAGCCAAGACTTGGTTGTAAAATCAATCAAATACAGAAAGAGTGGCCAAATCCTGCAGTACTTTACTCTTAGTCATACTACATACTGTGATGGGTAAGTACTAACCTTGATGGCTAGTGCAGAGCCAGGCAATAAAGAAAACAGATTGAAAATATGTATGAGCTGTTAAAATAGGATAGCTCTAAGTAAAGGAAAAGCTGTCTTTGACCTTAAGTTGGTTTCTTTTCCTTCCCTTGGCAGAAGGGAGGGGCAGGGGCAACCTTTAATCTAATTTAAAAACAAACAAACAAACAAAAACAAACAAAATGAAAAAAAAAAGATAAAAAGAAAAACAAAGAAAAACTTATTTTCTTATAAGTTTTTACCTGCAACCTTACCTTATTCAGCTTTTACCTGTTAATGAAGTTGCAAGTGCTGAAACTCAAAAAGTTGAGAATGTATAAATTGAAACCACCATACTTTGTTTAAAACCTGCAAGAGCCCCTGTTAAAATTCTATACCTGATAGAATTGGTTACAATTGCTTCTCAATGGCCCTGTTAAAGCAAGGTTATGACAACCCTTGCAGAATACATTACATGCATCTGTACTGTATTTCACATAAAAATGGAAAAGATAATGGTTTTAAAAAAACCTCAAAGTATCAAAACCGTAGTATATTTGTTCATGAACTAAGTATTAGCAAAACTCAGAACCAAATATAAAAAAGCAAAAAAATCAAAATATTAAGATTCAAAAATTAAAACCTACTTTGGTACTACTATAGCTCACTGTCTGAAGTCTCAGAACTTTGTTCATTAGTATTTGATTTTCACTCGTAGTGTTTTCTGAACAAAGAGATAGATAAACTCTTTTCAAAAATCAGTCTATGAGAAATGAAGCTACTGGTGTCTAAGTTGATACAGATATCAACTTAGAAATAATATCTGTAAGCAAGAATCAGCTTTTCAAAAAGTTAATTTCTTCACTTGGATATTTACCTTATTCAGAGAGTGAACACAACTTAGACGCAGCCTCTGTGAAAGTGTTCAGTAGTAGAAATACAATAACACAGTAGGAAGTCTTCATCAACACATGCTCATAGCACTAATATCACCCCTTTTTGTGCTTGAACAGGCTATATAAAATTAGCAGCTTTGTTTCTTTCACTTTATAGGGGAAAATTTTCTCTCACATGCTTAACATTCTACCAGTGCATGAAGAATATCAATATTACAGATATGGCTCCTAAGCATTAGTAACCATCCAGTTACTAATGGTTATTAAGCATTAGTGGCAGAATTAAGCAAGAGAGATAGATGCACAAATGGATAAAGATTAGGAATGTGATCAGCTATGACATTTGTTATAACAATTTTAAAATGACAGTGCAGAAAATAAAATGCTTCAAGCTATGACAGTGGTATGGCAGACAGCTCTGTCACTCAACCTTATTATCACTGGTGTAATACACTGGTAGTGCCCTACGCCTCTCACCCATCATCCAAAAATGAGGGCTCCATATCCACAGTACAAGGTATGGATATGGAGCTATGAGGCTCAAAAAAAAACATATCAAACATGTTTAGCCTAGGGTTACGAGATCAGATCAAAAAAATGAGAAAGATGCAAATAAATCATAACTTTGAATATGAGTCTTCATCCCATTAGGCGAGGAAGGCACAAATCAGGACACCCGGACTGCCCTGTTGTTGCTAAAGCAGCATAACAGAAAAACTGAAAGACAGAAAAAGGATTTGGGTGAAATCCAAAAAAGCACGAGTGTAGAAGCTTTGCCTGCTTCAGACGTAGAAAAGGAGGAAAAGTTGTTACAATGACTGACAGAAATACTTTGCTTTGCTTACACTTACACATCTTGAAAACTTCATAGAAGTCAAAGCAAGATGCAGCTGTTGTAATATTTGAAAGGAGGTGTCTCACTAAGGTTAAAGTTGGTTTGCAAGCATAAGGCTAGGAAATCTGTTGAAATTTGGTTCTGTTCAGATTTTTCAATAAATTCTTGTTTGATAGGACAAGCTACCTTGGTTCTAAGTTTCAAATAAAACAAGATTTTTAATTAACATTTATCTTGTTTGGTCACTGTATAATAAGTATGGAAATAGGCAGTGCCTCCTCTACTTCTCACAGGTTAAGCAACAGAAATGGCAGTTGTTCTATCACTGAGGCTTTCTTTCATAAATATGACACAAAAAGTTATATCAAAATAATAAATGTTCAATTATATTTATAGGACCTCATCCCTTCTATGATTTTCATCAATAAAATCTCAGCACATATTTTAAAAGAAAATTATTTATAACAATAGTACTTTATCCCCAAAATGGAAAAAAAAAAAAAAAATTCCTAAAATGAGCTTTTGACTGCATGTTGTATTTCTTCACTCTGTGCCTGATTAGACTTGACTAAGGCAGACTGAGGATTTTCGAGGCAGATGTTACCACCTTGGTTGGTGCAATCAACACTCCCAGGTGTCAAAGCACTATTCTGGTTCAGGTATATTCATGAAATGCCACCTCTAGCCACCTACAGCTCTTTATCACATTTCTAATGGTTCCCACCCTCTGTCTTCGAACGTAATTTTTCTTCTGTCCAAGTGAGTAAGGAATGAGCAGGGCAAACCCAGCTGATCTGAGTTTAGCACAGAGAAAAACACAAATACAGATGCACCCTATGTGAAATCTGTCTCTGGAATTCGCTCATGTAAGACATCTGTCTGCCTGGTCTTTTGCACAGAGCAGGGCTTGTTGCTGGGCTGTGATTCCCCTTTCTGATGCAAAAGCATTGTATAGGGGACTAATTGCACCCATTTACAGTGCTTTTGGACTAGAGTTTGTTCACCTCCTCAGAGCCTGAAGTGTAAGAGAAGTGAGAACAAAGATGTGCAGGCTCAACCTGCACCCTGTGTTAAGCAGAGGCTTGACTGAGGGTTTTGCTGGTGGTGTGCAGGGATATCTGTGAAGAGTGAAATGGACTGCTCAGATCTGCACAACCACAGCATCAAACAATTGAATACAGCAGCAACTGCCATGGCATGTGCTGGAACAATGGCCAGAAAGCTTCACAGTTTTGCTCTTCTTTGATCACATAATGGAGAAACTCAACTCAATTACTTTTCAAGCAGCTAAATGCCCTGCTTCTTCCACATTTTGCTTGTCTGCTTATGATAACTTTATTTCCCCAGAGTTCTAACACACACTAAAGTAAGACTCTTACAAATCTGAACTGCCTATGCCTAAAGAAAATATGCTTTCATCAATGTGTGTTCTCGTGAAATCCCACAGGACTGCTCTCAGTAGTCCTGTATAGCAAATCCACAACTGCCTGCTGTAACTATCCACCCTGATTTTCAGTAATGGCATTACCCTTGTAATTTTCCAGTCATTAAAATCTGGTCTGCGGATGACTAACATTACATGTTACAAGGTGTTTCATCCAGAACTTCACCCTCACGCAGCCCCATTTCCTGTAGAGCCGAACATTGTTATCAAGTGACCTGCTACCTACCTGCTGCCTACTATCTCATTAAAAGTCTTTCCTTTTTTTTTTCTTTTTTTTCTTTTTTTTTTTTTTTTTTTGCCCAGTACTATTGACATTTTGTCTTTTTAGGGCTTTTCTAAAACCATCAGCTGCAGGTGACTAACAAGGTGCTGTGACTATTGCTTTCCACTAGTAGTAAAGCAAGCTGAGGTCTGGCAGGCTGAACCACATATTACCCTCTTGGCCCAGGATGTGTAGGAGATATACCACCAGCTGTCACAAGCATGTTCTGTTCCCTCCTTCCACCCCACCACCCGTCGCCCCCACCCCTGCTTGAAAAACCTGTTAATTATGTCCCTAGTTCCTATTCAGTTACCCCTTTACCTAAGTGATTCATATATAACATATATATCGAGCTAGCTACCACATCAATTTATGGTGATTATAATGTATGCATATAGTATAGTTCAACACAAAGAAAAATATATCCTTGACTTGAAAAGCTATTGTGCATTGTATATGTAAGAAATCCCATAGAATCGTTCAACCTATAAAAACCACATGGCATGCTCCTCCTCCTCCTTGATTTACTGTTGCATTTCAAGAGCACTCGCCCTAGGAAAGCTGGATACCACCCAGAACTGCATTAATTCCAGCACCCCTTTGGCTATTGCATCTAAAGCAGGCCCCAGGTCTTCCAGGTGGGACTACAGATATGTGAGGAGTTACAGATCCATGACTAAGGACTCCACAGAGAATCTATTGCTGTTATTGAACTTGTTTTCTAGTCTGTCTTCTTTCAAATTCAGGCTAACAGGTCTCATTACACTTATTTTTCCTGAGTACTTAAAAAGCAATTTACTACTCCAAATCCTTCCCCATTTTGATAACTGGGTACCATGAACAGATCACCCTTAATCTTCTCTTGGATAAACTGAACAGGGTGAATTTCTGATATCACTTACTGGGTATTGCTCAGACATTTCTAATTCTTGGGCACGCAGACACTTGACTTGGA